AACAACAGAGCAAGATATGTTACAAAGAGGCGAGAGAACCAATCAAAATAGTAAAATGAAGCAAAGTGAGATCATAACCTTGTTCATTGCAACCATAGCTTTGGTTGCACCTTTCATGCCAGATGAAATTGAGGTGCTTGCATACAATGCCTATGTATTATAATCATCGAACCATTAAGTAAACATTCAATAAGTGTAAAATGGTACCAAAGCATGTAGAGATGAATGGTTGGGGAAATTAAGTAACCAAACCTGCGTATGAGTTGTGACACCCCGTATTTGAGCACGGCTTCCCTGCAAATTGGTGATCTGTTGCCTCAACCGAACAAGTTGTCGAGCTAAGATCTTGGTGGCCGCCTATGACAATGTTTTAAAAAAAACAAGCTTTGTTAATGTACAAGAGAAGATTTTAAATAGCCAGAAATGAATCAACAAGCTAGTAAGCACTACAAAAGAAACTGTGAGATAGTGATTCAATCCTCTGAAGGCTTAACAAGTTAGCACCCAAAAATCGTTTGCATAAAAAAGTCTGAAGTTTCTCGCAAAATCAGGAAGAAAAATTTTGATTCCACTAGAAAAGCTTTACCTCATTTCCAATCTTAGCAGTTTTCTTGATTTCTGCCACAAGCCTCTTCTCCTAATTGCCATATTCAGTAAAAACCGTCAGATATACTGATTTAACAGCATCGCAATGGATAAAATCAATGAATAAAAGTTGGTAAAAAAAGAGAGAGAAGAAACTCCCAGTTGATATCATCTACCTCCAATTGAAGAGATGCTATCTCGCGTTCAATACCTGCAGTTTCATTGGTAAAACACCAAATGAAATTGCAAACAAAGTTAGCTTTATGCTATGGCAATTTGAGTACAAAAATATAGAATCCATGTTAAAAAAAAAAGAGCGAATAAATTTGTAAAGCAATCCATAGAAACAAACACAAATACTAAAACTTAGCTAGCATCTCATGATGCAACTACTCTATTAGTCAAAACTCAAGAAAACAAAAAACCAAGCAAGCAATGATTCTTGTCTCATTTCTAACTCTGATCCAAACAAATCTATTAAGATCCCAAAGAACAAGCAAGAACATTGAAAACTCAAGTAAGCTAGACTCTCACAGACTATAGAGCACGAAACTTAATGGAAATGTAAAACAGCTTTCTTCAAACTCCATGGACTCACAGGATATCAATCACAGCTCTAAGACTTCCGTTTGCTAAACTGTTTTTTTTTATCGACAAGAAATGTGATCTGCTTTTCAACAAAGAAGAACAGATACCTCTTGTAGCTACAGCCATTTCTTTCTTACTGGTGCGGAGAGCATCTACATAAGAAATCATTTTCATTAGAATCAAAGCAGATTTGAAGCAAGTAAAGGGAAACACAAGATTTAATTACTTGAGAGAAGCACTGAAAACAAATACTGAATCAGGATAAGTTACTAATTAAGCAAGAACACACACATTCACTCAAAACAAAAGATTCAATTACCTGAGAGAATCACTGAAAACAAATACGGAATCAGGGTAAAGTTACTTATTAAGCCAAAACACACATTCACATAAACAAAGCGTACGCTTTTACTATAAGAAATAAAAGAAAAAACCCAGAAGATCAATAATTCACACTACACTGTCAGATTTAAGCACCAAGTTAATATAGAGGTGACAAATTTGGAGAATTACTCTAGAACCCAGAAGATTTCTCACTCCATACCTTCAGATTTAAGCACAAATAAAATTTAAAGGTGACATTTTTTTTGGAAGAAACCTTATAGAACCCTAAACACAATTACCTTTGGGAGTAGTCTTCTTCTTGAAAATGTTCATGGCTATTGTCTTCTATGAAATCGAGTGAATGAAGAAAACCCTAATCCTCGTGCTTTATGAGGGGAAAAACCCTAATTTGGTCTGCAGAGG